CACTGAATGGAACAAGGCAGCACAGTGTCACCTTATCCAGCTAGAATGAAGACACTAAAGAGGAGTTGGTGCGGGCTGAACCTCCATCCAGTCTGGATGACCTAATTGATTTGTTCATTCGACTTGACATCCCCCTGACTGAGCAGTGCCATGAGCATTGCTCAGCACCCCAAAAACTGCCAACACCCTGGACTGTGACTCTTCACCTGCGCAGTTCACTTCAGGACCTGGAACCCAGGCAATATGACCAGGTCAGCTGGCATGTACCAGAAGCAGAAAACCACAGACACTAAGCATCGGTGCTGTGCTTATATTGTCCGGGACCTAGACACTTCACAGCATTATGTCTGACAAAGGCTGGGTTGGTCTTTGGGTAAGGAAGCCATCAGGCCACAGCCTCGATAAAGGAACCTGCGCTGGACCAGTCTGTTCCCTCCTTTATAACTTCTTGTCTCCCACATGCCAGTGTCAGGACAACAGCAACTGCAAATCAGCATCCGACACACCTCTGATTGTCACTGCAGATCTGGTTTTCTATGAGGCCTCAGATTCACCTGGAAGCTCTAGTTGACTGGGGGCCTTGGACAATTTTGTGAGCTGGGACTTTGCTAAGGCCTAAAGGATTCCTACCCTGTGCAAAAACTCTCCAGATCTAGTGGAAACCATTGATTGTTGGTCCTATTCTTAGGCCCAGTAGCTCACCAGACCATTCTCCTAGGAGTTGTTTATCTAGAGGGACATCAGGAAGCTCTCAAGTTTGGGTTAATTTTGCCCCCTACCACCACCACCACCACTCTGCGGTTATGCTCAGTCTGCCCTGGCTTTGTGCACATGACACTTGTAGTCAAGCCTGTCTCCCAAAAGTCAGCAAGAGGATTGGTACTCTCTGCACCTCATGCCACAACCCAAGGAATCCCTACGCAAAGAAAGTGATCTCACAGCAGTTAAACATGCCTGCCACTGTCCCATCTGCTGCTGTCAAGATATCACTAAAATATCACGATCTCACTGATGCTTTTGACAAAGGGAAAATGGACAAAGGTGTGACTGTTCTATCGACCTCCACACCACAGCTGAGATTCCCTTTGGCTTATATATGCCTTCTCTGAACCAGAGCTTCAAACTCTTCTCACATATCTGCAAGACAACCTGCAGAACTGGTTCATCTGTCCAGCCACATCTCTGGCAGGAGCGCCAATTTTCTTTGTTAAGAAGAAGGATGGGTCCTTGATCACTGAGTATCGAGCACTGATCACTGAGTATCGAGCAAGGTGACTGTTTGAAACTGTTATCTACTCCCTCTCATTCATGAGCTCCTAGACCACCTGTACTCCACCAAATTTTTACAAAGCTAGATCTGCATGGGATCTATAACCTGGTGCATCTGTGAGAGGGAGACAAATGAAAGACCACCTTCCACACTCAGTTTGGCCACTTCAAATACCTCTTCATGTCCGTCAGCCTGTGCAATGGCCCATCAACCTTCCATCATTTTATTAATGACATCTTCCAGGACATGCTGGATCAATTCATCATTATTTCCTTAATGATATCTTTATTATTTTTGGAGAATCAGGTACATCATGACCTGCATATATGAAGCATCTTAGAAAGACTTCACATGAACTACTTCTATGCCAACCCAGAAAAATGCCAGTTCAGCCAGGACAGAGTGGAATTTCTTGGCTATGTCATCTCGCCTAAGGGACTGGCTATGGACCCAAATAAAGTGGCAGCCATCGCAGATTGGGCAGCGCCAAAAGACATCCATGGAATACAATGCTTTCTGGGCTTTGCCATTTTCTATAGGTGATTTATCAAGGGGCTCTCCAGTGTGGTTGCCCCTAATACTACTCTCCTACAGAAGACAGCCTTGTTTGTCTGGTCTCCAGAAGCACAGACTTCATTTGATCACATTCATATCATCCACCATATTGATCCACTCAGATCCAGCCAAACCATTTACAGTGGGGGAAAATACTTCAAACTTTGTGTGGGGAGCAATCCTCTCCCATTTGGCTGACTCCAATGGTCAGCTTCACCCTTTTGCCTTCCATTTGTGCAAACTTATCCCACTGGAACAAAATTATGACACTTTAGACAAAGAGTTATTGGCCATTAGAGTGACTTTCGAGGAGTGGCAGCATCTCCTGGAAGGCACTAAATTCCCGGTCCAAGTTCTTACTAATCACAAGAACCTGGAACTCCTGAAGACAGCCCAGCATTTGAACCAGTGGCATGCCCACTGGTCTCCTTTACACACTTCAATTTTGTGATCACTACCACTCGAGAATAAGGAATGGGAAGGTGAATGCATTATCCCAAAAGGACAAGTATTGTGAGCCTGGCATGGAAACCCTGTGCATGATCCTGAAACCTTTGAATTTTATTGCTGATACCACAGTCCCTAACCAATACCTCCATCTGATCTCTGCTGCCCAATGATCCATTCATGATTAAAATGCATTGGGCCCTAGAAGATACCAATATTCAGTCCAGCCTGGTGTTCACACTCCATGATGGAATCTTCTACTGCAAGGGAAGCATCTACATGCCTGAGGGCACAACCAGGCTCCAAATCCTATGACTATTTGCCATGACCCTCCTCTGGCAGGCCACTTTGCACGATTCAAGACCTACGACCTGATGTCTAGGCGCTTCTGGTGGCCAGCCCTGTGCACTTCCATAGCAGCTTATGTGAGATCCCGCAATCTCTATTCCTGGACGAAGAACCCCCTGACCCATATGATACCCCTGGATCTCCTTCAGCCCTTGCCCACCCCATCTCAGCCATGGACTTAATCATGGAACTGCCGCCCTCCCAAGGACACACCATGATTCTAGTCACAGTGTACCTTCTTACTAAAATGGTGCATTTATACCATGTGGAGGCCTCCCCATCACCCAAGAGACAAGCCTGCCCTTTTGAAGAAAACATCTTTTGCCTCCACAGGTTACCAACGAGCATAGTGTCTGACTGGAGATCCCAGTTCATTTCCTGTTTCTGGTGGTAATTTCCTGTGCCCTCTGGGAATCAACACCTGTTCCTTGACCACTTACTACCCAAACACCAACAGTCAGACAAAACAAGTCAGTCAGGTCCTGGAGCAGGACCTATGTGGCTTTCTTAATTACCATCAGGATGATTGCTTACCTCCCACAGAATTTGCCTACAATAATGCCACATACATCTCCATCCAACCGACATCTTATTTTTTCGCTAATTACGGATTCCATCTTTGCGTTCACCCCAAATTCCCCACCAAGTCTCCAGTGACCACCATTGCTGACCTCATCACTCGCATCCTTCAGATACACCAAGAGTTTAAACTCTGGTTAGAAGAAGCTAAAGCAGCATACAAATGATATGCTGATCAGCACTGTTGGCCAGCCCCTAGCTTCTCAGTAGGGGATTAGGTCTGGCTGGCCACCTTAGATCTACTCACCCATCTGCAAAGCTGGACCACCAGTACATGGGGGCCTTTCAGATTACAAAATGGATTATTATAGTAACCTTCAAGCTACAGTTACCAGAATCTCTTAAAGTCCATCCCATCTTCCAGATCTCCCAGTTAAAGCCACGTACCAAAAATACCTTCCCATATTGCATCACTCCCCTGCCCTTACCAATAACCATTCAGGGTCAGGAAGAATATATGGTTTGGCAAATTCTGGACTCTCGCTGACTACAGGGAAGGCTCCAATACTTAATTGACTAAAAGGGATATGGCCCTGATGCATTCTTGTGGGAACCTGCAGAACATGTCCATAACTTAGACCTCCTGCTCGCTTTTCACTGCATCTACTGAGAGAAACCAGGCCTCATGGCCTTTGAGGAGGGTAGTGAGGGAGATACTGTCAGGGATTAGGGCTGCAGCAGAGTCAGTCTCCTGGCAATCCAACAAGCATAGCTAGCCTGCACTACATTACCTGGTTGATTGCATCACCTGTTTGGTCAGGAAGGGCAGCTGGCTGGCTTTAAGCACAGCAGCAGCTGCAGCTTCCTGGCTGCTCAGTGTGTATCCTGCCATTCCAGTCCCTGTATCCGCAGGCTTCCAGACCCTGCTCCTAACCTGCTCTGGTTCCCCTTCAGTTCCTGCCTCTGCAGAGCCTATGACCCACAACTCTGATTGCCCTCCAGCTCTGGCATTTGGCTTCTGTCCCTCTGGCCCTGACCCTTGGCTTGTTCCTGGACTCTGCTCACCCAGAACCCAGCTCTAACCAGTAGGCCAAACTCTCGCTTTAACCAGCAGGCCAGACTGCCTATGGCCCAATCTCTAGCAGTCCCATTCATTTCAAGGTGCTTTTTAGAATCTCACCAGGTGCTTATCAGCATCTCTAGGTACCTAAATAACCTTATAAAACTGTTACTTAATGCCAAGTATATTCACGTACATTCATTCAGATTGATCTTTTCCCATTTTTCTCTTGGCTACCTGCTTCTGCAGAACCAGCTGCCTTGCTTAGATACTTTAGATGAAATCCTGGCCCCCTGAAGTCAATGCAAGTTTTGCCATTGATTTCAATAGGCACCAGAATATCACCCTTTATGCAGACTTGTAAAATACGTGTCCCTAAATCCGACTTCTCATTTGGGAAAGTAGCACTGAGACCTCTCAGTGTCCATGTTACCTGGCAAGGTGCTAATTTAAACATCCCTAAGGAGATAATATATTTCCTGTTTGAGAAAAAATTGAATCCCCAAAATAACAAACCTTCTCCATAATACCTTACGTGGGGCGAAATTGATCTGTGATACTAGTTATAAAAGAAACACTGCCCCACAAGAAATACTTCCTGGAATCATGTGATTCACAGCATCAGCCAACCATTACAATGTCATTTGCAGATTTTTCCGAGGACTCTGTCGTGATTAGCACAACACTGTGCAGACACATTGTCTGGTAAATGAAAAATTTCAACATCACTCAAAGTAATCTACACACAAAATGAGCTCATCAAAGTTGTAAACAGACATTTATTGCAAATAAAAATCCACATTCACATCATTAATTTTAAGGAGATTGTTTCACATGAAGAATCTGTATTCATCAGGGCTGCTGCTTTTATCAAAACAGCTGCTTGTGACATACATGTATTTGTTTAAATGTGGCAAACCAAAATTTAACTATAAAAGTTTTGATTTGGCTGATGACCTAGTTCTGACACTTCCATTGTTTCATTTTCTCTGGATCTGACAGTACAGGCTCATCGAAAACCCCAAACCAACAATCTAGAAAATAAAGATATTTATGGTATTACTTGGCAGTCCTGGAAATCCCTGCATAGAATTGATACACAGTGAAAACATTTTGTTTGCAAATGTCTTGGATTTACATAAATCTGTGGAGGAGTAGATTTTTTCCAATGCCTTTCATTAGAAGCATGACTCTAGAGTATTGAGATTTTAATGAAATCAGTATGTACCACAGGTAAGATTGCAGAGAAAATGGAAAACTTAAACTTTGTTTAAAAAAGATGACCCATGTTGATGGGAGACCCTTCTTCAGATGTGGGATTTTTAAATGCAGCTATTCATTTTTATTTTCTAAGTCACTGGAATAACTTCTCAGACTCTGTTGTATGCCAAGATTTTAGTTTCTTTGACATCTTTAATCTTTTCTATTTTTACCTTTCTTGTGTTTCACTAGCTTTTATATTACATCTATACACACACATTATATGCATATGTACTCAGACACCCCTATCATTTTGGGTGCTAAATAGTCACATTACAAATATTTTAAATTTACCAGTAATCTGATCAGGCCAGAAGTGTTGCATCACTTAAAGAACTAGCTGACTGAAATAAAATCTGACTAAGGCCAAGTTTTGATGCAAGAATTACTGGGTGAAATTCTGTGGCTGGGGTTATACAGGAGGTCAGATTATTCAGTGGTTCTTAACCTGCGGCCCATGGGTCACTTGCAGCCCAATCAGCACAGAGCTGTGGCCCATGTGACATCCTCAGGGCCATGGAGGTACATTTGATGCAGCCCACATAACACATTGCGGGCCACATATGTGGCCCGCAATGGTAAATAGGTTGAGAACCAATTAGATGATCATAATGATCCCTTTTGGCCTTAATTTATCAGTATTTGAAGTGTTAAGTAAAAACAGGAAAGATCCAAATAGTCATTTATGAAGCAACTAAACAATAGTGTTTAACTTTTTCAAGAAATTTACAATGGAGAACATATAGAATATACCAGTGGTTCCCAAACTTGTTCCGCCACTTGTGCAGGGAAAACCCCGGAGGGCAGGGCCAGTTTGTTTACCTGCCGTGGCCACAGGTTCGGCTGATTGTGGCTCCCACTGGCTGCAGTTCGCCGCTCCAGGCCAATGGGAGCTGCTAGAAGCAACTGTCATCTAAGTGATCCACCATAAGTAGCTTCTTGAAATAATACCCAGCTGTCATAGGCAAGCTGAGTTCAGCCTGGCTTCTGACCTAGCAGTTACCCTCAACCTTGCCCCTGATCTAACCATATAGGGGCAATTAGTGATACCAGCTGGATGTAATGGAGTGAGAGTGACTGACCCCAGCTGCAGAGGATTACTTAAACACAGCTGAGTGGAGAAGGCCTAGGAGAGAGGAGGTATGGAGTTCCGAATCTCTATGGGAAGGGGTTCGGGCAGTTAGACTGAGGAAAGCGACAGTGATAGAATTGATCCCTGTGGGGGGCAGGCCCTGGAAAGGGGGCAAGATCCAGGGAAAGACCATAGAGAAGAGAAGACTTTCCTATGGAGACAAACCCACAGAGTAGGCTCCTGTGGTTGCGTAGCTCTGAGGTAGGGTTTCTACGTGGCACAGAAGACTTCAGTTGCCCAAGAGGCAGAAGAATTATTCAGATGTTTGGATTTTCATTTGGACCTTTTGGTTACCCTGAAGGGGATTTGAACTTTATGTGACTTGGCTGGAGGGCTGAGGCCTGGAAGAGACAGTGGGAGGCAGACGGTCAGTAGGCAGTGCTGGAAACGAGTACCCTGTGCAGCATCGCACCCTGACACAAAGGTGTGCTATGCGTGGTGAGCACACAGTCTTATAAAAAATGCTAAGTAAGAGGTTAGTTGCAAGTCATATCAAGCACTTCAGCTGTACTGAGTCTTTCCTGCTTACTATTACTTTCCTGGACATGGATTTTTTAGGCTGGAGCTCCTGCCCACTTTTAGGGCAGGGAGAATAATTCTCTGCCAAAGCAGTGCTACAATTTAAATACCTTTTCAGTCTGAATTATGGATTCAGTACTGCAAAATTCACTTTGTCATTCTGTGTTTACCTCAAGCCTCTAATTTCAGGGGGGGAAACTACAAAGAAGTAATACAAAAAATGTGAAATAATGGAATGAGGCAAAGCAATTAAATCCCATGTTTCTTAGTCATAGACAGAACCTAACATTAGTCAGGTGGTTAACTAGATAACATCACTTTCTCCCCCTCATTCCTTTAGAGAAAATGTGTTGTGTCATTGTTCAGTAAATGAAGAAACAATTGACATAAACAGCCCGAACATTCCAATTGTATATTCTGCTCTTTACCTGCTTAAATCTCCTCTATGGGGGAACTGTGTCCTCAGAACAATAATTCCACATCATAATCTCTCTATTATATGAGGGCTGCAATTTAGTTACAATTGAGATAATGTAGCTGACCTGAACTCTTGACAATACAAAGCTTTCTTAAATCAATGTATTTAGAAAGACAAGGTCGATAACATTTTTTTTGGACCTGATCCAAAGCCCATTGGAAGGTCTGTTGACTTCAGCGGACTTCAAATCAGGGCCCATTAAAGCAATTTTAAAAAAAAGAAAAAAGGTTGAATTTCAGGTTCCAGCGAGTAGTAATGACTGAAACTGAGAAGGTTCAAGGTGACCATCCGGTTCACATGAGCATCCCAAAGTTCAGACCAACTTCCAGCTCATCTGGAAATCCCACAAGGATGGGTTCTCTTGTGAAATTTCTACCATTCCCTTTATCCAGTTGGGCCAGAAATAGAACAAGAATAGCATCTCTTTCTGTATTTTTGGCCCCTCTATTTCTGCTGCTGACAAGAACCTGTCATGTAATCCTGTTCAGACTCCATTTTAAAGCTATGTTGTTTGCCCCATTACCCCTATTGGGAGGCTGTTCCAGAACCTCACTCCTGTCGTAGTCAGAAACCAGTAACTGGCCAGACGCACAGTAAGTAAACTACTGTCCTCCCAGAAAGTGGGGGGGAATAGGGAGAGGACTGTGACTCTCCCCAATATGCTGCTGCTACGTACCAGATCTCACTCAGGGCCAATTGTAAAATTAAGATTAAGCCTTTAGGCTGTAAATTCTTTGCAGGAAGTGGGACATGCAACCTGTTTGTACAGCACCCACCACAGAAGGGTCCTGATCCTGAGGTCTTGAGCCTTACTGCAATATACCTAAATACTAAATGATAGTACAATTAGGGATGAGGTTAAAGCCAATTCATTGTTGCTTAATAGTTGAGCAATCCAGGTATTTTAATCCCAGTCCCAGCACATTTCAAATACAACACTTTGCTTGTCATCTAGTAAATATTTTAATGGTTTATACTGATACCTCAATAAATGCCAGTCCAAATGCGATCCCCATAAGTATGACCATATGGTGTTTGAAGAAATCAATTATCACAACGCCACATGGCTGAAAGAAAAGAAAAGATTAATTATGAGTAATACAAGCTCATTAGGAGTATAGCCTCTAAAATCATTGGCTGCATGGAATAGCACTGGCCAAAAAGGTAATCCACCATGTGCAAGAGAAGCTGTTCTAATTTGCTCGGGTTTGTTACAAAGACAAAGAGTACATCTGCAACCATCCTGTGCTCTGGGAGGAATATCTGCTCTTTGTGTTCCAAAATATGAATCTAGTATCCAAATATACACGTAGGGTAAAGTTTCAGAATAAAAGACACTGCTTCAGTATCTAGGGTTTATGATACTGCCACATGAAAAATGAAATAAAAATATCATTTACCCTTATTTTCTCTGTCTAATCCCTTTTCATTAGAGAGGGGCCAAAGCTGTGAAGTTCGGGGCTGGAAGTGAGTCAATTTCCCATTATACTGATATTTGCATTTGCTATTCCAGGTCAGGTTTATTACAGGCTCAGAGCAGGATAATTGGATATGGAGTCACATTTAAATCCAAACTTTCTCACATGTTCGACGGGCTCAGGCTGGATGTGGGATGGAGTGAGCACCACCGCCACCACTATCCCCTGCCCAACATGTGGATGGACTTTCACCCTATTTCCTCCCCAATGATAAACATGTTTATCTTTCTCTCAAAAAGGCTTTAAATTTAGCTCTGACTCACTATTGCAGCAAGTCTCAAAATGGTGAGTTTCCTTCACAAGGATCCTGCCAATATCCACCCCTGCCCATAAAATTTGGTGGTTTGCACAGGGAATTTGTCTTGCACCCACAATAATTTATCTATATTTTCATGCTTGTATTCTGTGGGTTCCATTTAGGCCCTGACTAAACTTTGGCCAAAGGGGCACATACCATTTCGTATTTTTGAATGTTAGGTCTTGACTCTGCCACCCTACACACCTGCTGAATATACCCTTATTCACAAGCAGATTTCCTTCAGTGACACTACTGCAGGAATGAATTAGTACTCAGCATAAATAAGGGTGGCAGAATCTGGCCATGAACTTCAATATTTATAAAAATCTAGCCCCAAAATTTGATATTTATGGAAATTGGCTGTACAGTGGATGTAGATAATGGCAAAACCAGACATGTCGTAGCACTAACTTTCTAAAAATTCAGACATTTTATGCCTGCTTTCACTATTTTTCTCTGGATTTGCAGAGTTCTAATTTCCATGCAATGAAATCTTGAAATAGGTTAATTGAGTTCCCTGCTGCCCATTCTCCAATTTGTGTCTGAATCTCTCTTTGCTGCCTGTCATCATGCACCCTGTCTTACTGTTCTAATTTAATGCTGAAAGCTTTTCCAAGGGGTACAGCTGGGGGGAAATGGCCCCTCAAGTGTGCTGTCAGAAAACATGCAGCATTTCCTTCCAGCGGATTCTATAACTGAGTGTGAACCTTTTTAAAAGAGATTAACAATAAAAGTATCTTACATTGAAGCCTTTCATCCTGAAATATTCTTAAGTACTTTAAAAGCTATGGGTCAAATCCTGGGCAAACATGTCTGACAATGTAGTTATTTTATTGTGTGGAATCTTGAGCCTGGGGTGAGAGAGGAGGTGAGTAATCCCTATAGCAATATGGAGATGTTGCTAAGGCCTCCTGTCACTCAGAATCCTCACTGGTGACCACAAACTGGGAACCCAGACAGGCTGCAGAGGTCCTTAGGGCACTGCACCACACTGTGGAAATGCGGATATGGCAGGGGGAGCAGGCAGCAGCCAAAAAGCATGCTGTACTTCACAACCACTGGAGGAGAGGAAAATTTAACTAAGGAAAACAGAACAAACCCTTTTCCTTTTCAAAAGTATCAGGGGCTCTTTAATGACCAGGCAAAGCAGACAGAACCTCGCTCTAAACCTCTTTTTGGAAAGTGAAATATGTAAAAATCGTACTTACCCTTTTATAAATGTTTCTGTTAGAATAAACGGTGCAGAGATCTGTATTTTGGTCTTTCTGTGCACATTCACAGATCTTAAAATTACCATAAGGAGAATTAAAATTGCTCCCCCAGTCTTCATATCCCTTCACCAAACCACAGCACTGATTCTGTAAAAGAGGAGAAAAGGAGGGGTGAAAGGGAAGAATGGTGACTGAAAATAAGTCATAAGAATGGCTATACTGAGTCAGACCAAAGGTTCATCCAGCCCAGTATCCTGTCTACCAACAGTGGCCAATGCCAGGTGCCCCAGAGGGAGCGAACCTAACAGGTAATGATTTAGTGATCTCTCTCCTGCCATCCATCTCCACCCTCTGACAAACAGAGGCTAGGGACACCATTCCTTACCTATCCTGGCTAATAGCCATTAATGAACTTAATGTCTATTAATTTATCTAGTTCTCTTTTAAACCCTGTTATACTCCTAGCCTTCACAACCTCCTCAGGCAAGGAGTTCCACAGGTTGACTGTGTGCTGTGTGAAGAAGAACTTCCTTTTATTTGTTTTAAACCTGATGCCCATTAATTTCATTTGGTGGCCCCTAGTTCTTGTATTATGGGAACAAGTAAATAACTTTTTCTTATTCACTTTCTCCACCCCACTCATGATTTTATATACCTCTATCATATCCCCCCTTAGGCTAGGACTTTTCAGCTTGGAAAAGAGGAGACTATCTAATCTCTCCTCATATGGGCATCATTCCAAACCCCTAATCATTTTAGTTGACCTTTTCTAAACCTTTTATAATGCCGGTATATCTTTTTTGAGATGAGGAGACCACATCTGTACGCAGTATTCAAGATGTGGGCGTACGATGGATTTATATAAAGGCAATAAGATCTTCTCCATCTTATTCTCTATCCCTTTTTTAACAATTCCTAACATCCCGTTTGTTTTTTTGTCACACAAATCTGTTTCACACTTGCAAACCTTACCAAGCCATTGCACATCTAAGAGGCCCTTTGCGTACATGTATCCATGTCTTCTATCAATAATCAGAATGGCAGGTGAATTGTAGTCAATAAATAAAGAGGATGAAGAAGGAACAGATTTCCAATATACAATAAGAAAGAATCAGTAACATGGCTTTGGATTAATGACTGCATGTGCCACAACATAGCCTGTAATAATGTTGGATGTTTTCAGAATTATGTTTTTTTCCCTGCATTTTATATATGTATGTTAGACATAGCCAAAGTATTTCACATGTGAAAAAAAGCCAACCTGGAAAAAGATAATACAGGCATATAAAAATGAGACAGCTAGACAAATAACCCCCTCAATGGATGGGTAGCCTGTGAACCTAGCCATGGGCCAGAGAGGCTATGGATTTGGTTTGGGTTTAAAAACCTAAACCAGGTGTGGTTTTGATTCAGGTTCTATTTTATCCAAACCATCAAAGTGCAGGGGTGGAAGCAGGGCAACATAAAGTTCTGGCTTTAGCTCTTCTCTGTTTTAAAGGGCAGCTGGAACCACTCATCTTGTAGAGATGCAAAGGCCATGGGACATAATAAAACAATCGTGATCTACTAAAAACCAGAGCCACTATGGCTCTACCTCTACTTTTTCCAGAGAGACTCCTCACCCCTCCTGGGGGCTGTCTATGATATCATAAGCAGCGAGCTGGGTCAGCAATGGGAGGGGGCAGCAAAAGCTGTCTAAACACTGTTTCTGGCTACCATTCCACTAGCATCCCTGGCAGTGTTCAGAAGAAGAGCCCTCAAGCTCATCCCCTAAAGTCATGTGCTCCTATGGACCAAGCAATGCACACCCAGGCATAACAAGAATGAATGGTTCTGAGCACCAGCTGCTCTGTGGTGAGCGGCCTGTCCCCTGGTGTAAATGGGAGTTGAAAATATTCTGCACTTCTCAGGAGGCATCTTTCAGGATCAGACCCATCTTGAATGTTCCACCTTTTGGTGTTAGGCATGCATGGATATGAGCCTAGACATAAACCCGCAGAAGAACCTCTCTTTTATCTCATTTTATTTCCCTCTCTTTTACAATAAAATATAGCATTACATGACTTTGTAGTAAGGAAGAAAATATTTCAAATAAGCAACACATGGTGAATGTTCCATAAGATATGGTCATTTTTCTTTATGACTGACATAGTCCCTGACTGGTTCCCTTATCCCAGGAGTAAATTTGCCACTACAGACCGGTGGATGATTTTAAAATAGTAAAGGTTGGAGTAGCAACTTTCCTTCAAAACCTCTTCAGTTTGGAACCAATGGCTTGGAAGCAAAGCGTCTTATCTCACTGGTGGTGCTGTCACTGGGTGACATTTGTCATGACAAAATAGTATCTGTCATTCTTTGAGTGCTGAAAAGATTATACAGATTGCATATCTAGGTTGCTGCCATAGCTTGTTTGAATAGGGAGTGCAGCCAGATACGGAGAGAACTTCCCTTAGATAGGGAGGCTTTTAATGCTGGGCGCGGTTTCTCCCCTGGCGCAGGAGTCTGCCAGCTCTGAGTTATTGCCTCATTAGAGACCTGTAAAGTGAAGATCCCAGACTGGAGAAGGAAGGGAGGGTTAGGACTAGCAAAGCTTGTTATAATGTTATCATTCTTTGTTTTGAATCCTCCTTAATAAAGTCTTTATACAATGTTTGCTTTCTCCCATAAACCCATTATGTCATCATTCCAGCTGTGCTTGGATCCATCATCATTTATTTTAAATAAGATGTCAAATTTCAATTAACATTGCTAAACGGTGTGTGATACATAGCTCTGTGATAGAGTATACAAATCCCACACTGGGACAGAAGAGGTTAAACGACTAGATTGGGCCCAGGTAGGCCTTCCCCTCCAATCCTGCAGAGCATGCTCCAGCTGCAGACAGGGTTGAAAAGGGAGCAACCCAGCTCAGAAAGGGGAGGCTGAGGAAGAATGCAGACCTGCCCTGAAGGCTCCTCCCAAAAGGGGCTGGAGAAGCCTCCCTGAAGGCACAGTGCTGTAGGCACAGCCCAGCTGGGGCTGGCAGTTTTGGTTTCCTTTTTCTTTTCCTCTTATCTGGGATCAGAAGCTAAGGGAAGGAAACTGTGTTAGAAAGAGACCCAGGGAAAGTCTGGTGACCCTCCTAGGCAAGAGTGCCAGAACCTCAGTATAAGTGGGAAGGCCACAAGGGCCCCCCCTCCTCTTCCCATGTGGCCCTGACCCTGCTCCTCCTCTTTCCCTCTGAGATCCAACTCCCTGGCCAGGCCAGAATCCAGAGCTGGGCTGTGGTAAGAGCTGCCCAGGGAGCCCGGGGTGCTGTGGGGAGCCCCAGACCCTCCACCTGCCCTGGGTGGGGGTCAGGGTGCCTGAAAACAGCCCCTAGCCTATGTCCCTGACCCCTTGGGCACTCTACTGAAAGGTTTGGGGCTCCCCACAGCAGCCCGGGCTCCCTGGGCAGCTCTTACCATGGCCCGGCTCTGCTTCCGGCCTGGCCAGGGGACAGGACCTCAGAGGGAAGAGGAGGAGCAGTGGGTTGGGCCTCTAGGCAAGGGGGCGCTGAGGCCCACCTCAGCCTCATCCCCTCTGGGAAGAGGCTGATACCACTGGCAGGGGCTATGCTTGACAGCAGGGGAGATGATCGCCTTATCAGTTCCCCCCACCATGAAGCATAGCCCCTGCTGCCACCGCTCGGTGCTTGCCAAGACTTGCAGTTGGGGGGAGGGTCAATGAGGCCCCCAAACTACACCCATGTTATAAATTGGGAGGCCATGGTCCCCTTGCCTCTCCCCCAGTTCCAGCATCACTGCTCCTAGGGCCCTGGATCAGAGCCCAGTGGAGTGGGTGAGCCCAGACTCTCCTACCACTGCCCCATGACCGAATAAGTGCTAACCGCTAGGCTCCTTGGCCCACTGAGGGCCCCTTTACAAGCTCCTTCTTTTGTCTAGTATTTAGAAGAAATAAAAACATTTGAGCTAAAACAAAGTACTTTAACTTCCATCCTCCTGTATCATGTTTGTGTTGGAAAGAAAGTTTTTCTGAAGGGCATAGAAAAATATTGAGACATTTCAGGCATCACTTAAATGAGAAACTGAACAATGATTTCCAGTCTAAAGCAATGCAAATGCTACAGATAAGTGCTTCACCTACAGAGAATAACCACAGCGTTTGAGCGAAGGTGAGGCACTTTTTATATTGGGAATTTCTTTAGTATTTTTAAGAAGAAAATGAAAATGTTATTTATATTTTATTCCCAGCACTGGCCAGATTCTAAGGTCTTTTATTAGTTATTGAGTCCTTACACAGGTAAATTCCAATCAAAGTTCTATGGAGTCATAGATAGAGTTTAAAGCTAGAGGGTGGTGACAGAATCACAATCTAGCCTAGGGTGAATCCTCATTTGAGCACGGGGGGTTTCAAATTGCACCCCTCGTGTCCCCATTGCTGTGAATCAAGAATCATAGATGTGAATCAGGTCTGTTTTCTCCAGAGCAGATAAGGTCCACTGGCACCGCAGTCAACAAACCTGGCATTATATGAGGTATTCAGAATGGTCAATAGAGACAGCTCCAAGATGCAAAGTTTGGTTCTTTATCTGACTTTCCCTGACTTTGAGTAGTGTTTGAATCTAGGGATTTAGTCTTTCACTTTATTCAGAGTGACAAATTTTAGATCTGGATCCAAATTCAAGATACTATTAGACTGTAATCAAGTCACCCCTTAACCTTCTTTTTGTTAAACTAAATAGATTGAGCTCTTTGAGTCTGTCACTATAAGGCATATTTTCTAAAGCATTAATCATTCTTGTGGCTCTTCTCTGAACCATCTCCACTTTATCAATACTCTTCTTTAATTGTGGGCACAAGAACTGGGCACAGTATTCTAGCAGTAGTCACACCAGTTCCAAATACAGAATACAAATACAAAAATAACCTCTGTCTTTCTACTTGAGATTCCCTAGTTTGTGCATCCCAGGATTATAACAACTCTTGTAAGTAGCTATATGGGAAACAAATATTTACTAATGGGCTCCTCAATCTAGAAAAAGGTATACCATGATCCAGTGGCTGGAATCTAGACAAATTAAGACTGGAAATAAATATAAATTTTTGACAGTGAAGGTAATTAACCATTGGAACAATTTACAAAGGGTCGTGGTGGATTCTTCATCACTGACAATTTTAAGTCAAGATTGCTTTAGGAATTATTTTGGGGAAGTTATATGGCCTGTAATTACACAGGAGATCAGATAATCACAATGGTCCCTTCTGGTTTTGGAATCTATGAATCAAAGATTGGATATGCTCAAATTCAGAGGCTTGGTTCAGGTATCTCTATAATTGTCTGTATTTGGTTATAGGCTGCAGACCCTGTACTTTCCATAGCAGTAAGAATAAAGCTTACAAAATCAACGGAATGAGTATGCAGACCCTGCAAAAGAAAGACAATACCTCTGGGCCTTCTAAACTCAATAGATAAAATCTGCACTCTTGTAAGCTCAATAGTGGTACAACAAGTGCAGAGCTTACATGGGCCTCAGGAAGGGGCTGGAGACCTTTCAAGGAACAGGTGAGTCTACAGACCTTGTAAATTCTCTTGGCAGCATGTGAAGACCTTGAAAGCTTTTTATTCATGGCTTTCTATGTTACTTACAAGAACTGCTGGGTGCTTCAAATTTTCTTGAGTCAGGGTGTTTGGATGAAGAAATTTACAGTATCTGTAGGCACAGGGCAGAGTTTGTAATCTTTGAACCAAAGTTATTTGGTTTATTTTGTTCCAACTTAGGTTTTTTGAAACAGGCAATTTAATTTATGGATCTTAGATACATAATATCCAGACTTTATACTCACATGGTCCTTTAGTGATTTACAAACTTTACATGGAACTTTGAAGTTCAAATAGTTGTAGTAAATGAGTCAACCATAAAACCTTCTAAAATATAGCTCAGTAGTTCTGAGAGAAAACAAATGAATAGAACAAAGTTGGAATTTCTATACAAGCAAATATGATATTCCTAAAAAAAGAAATGAGATAACTACCAAACCCTCTCTTTTCTTCAAATGCTCATATATCAAAAATGCTTTGTGCTCTGACAACATGCAGGTACTTAGATAATACAATAAAGAGAGTGGGATAAAGACAGAGATATCAAACCTCCTCAAAATGTTCCTCTAGAAAGAGACTTTCAGAAAGTTAAAGGATGACTCATATGTAAGCCCCTAGTCAGTGGCTTGGACCCTATGTGCAGGGTGGTGGGGGGGGGGCGCGCGCTGGGCATGGGGAAATTGCATAGTGGTGGATCCAGGGAATATTCTAAACAAGAGACGACGTGTGGGGCAGGGCAAGTAGGGTCATGTGCAGTGATGAGCTGCCAAAATCTTAACAACGGGTTCCCCCCTCACCCCACGAGGGGGTTGTTGCCCACCCCTGCCCCCCAGGACTCCTGCCCCATCCAACCCCCCCGTGTTCCTTGGACGCCCCACCCCCAAGACCCCTGCCCCATCCACCCCCTTCCCTGTCCCCTGACTGCCCCCAGAACCGGGCAGAAGGGTCTTGTGGGCTACCGTAGTGGGTGCCCATCCCACCCTAAGAGTCAGAGGCACCTGCCGGGGTGTGACGTGGGGAGTCCCAGTAGTGCTTACCTGGGGCAGCTCCAAGGAACCATCCGGCAGGTCCCTCTGGCTTCTAGGGGCGGGGGAGCGTAGCTAGGGGGGAGCAGGGGGAGCGGCTGCTCCCCCCACTGATCACATCAAAAATGGCGCCTTAGGCACCAACTCCCTGGGTGCTCCGGGGCTGGAGCTCCCACGGGGAAAATTTGGTGGGTGCAGAAACCCCACTGGCACCTCCTCGCCCCGCGCCTGGCCCCAGCTCACCTCCGCTCCACCTTCTCCCCTGAACCCACCGCCCCGCTCTGCTGCTCCGCACCCCCCCATCACCGCTGGCTTCCCGTGAATCAGCTGTTCGGCGGGAAGCCGGGGAGGGCTGAGAAGCAGGCCGCAGCTTCCCGCTCAGGGCAAGGGTGGCGGAGGTGAGCTGGGGCAGGGAGCGTTCCCCTGCACGCCCCCCCACCCTGGGTTACTTGTTGCGGCGCGGGCGGCCCTCCTCGCGCCCTGCCCCCCCCGAGCTCATCTCCGCCTCCCTGGGCCTCAGTGGGAAGCTGCGGCCTGCTTCTCCGCCCGCCCCGGCTTACCGCATGAACAGCTGATTCGCGGGAAGCCTGGAGGGGTGGAGAAGCAGAGCGGGGCGGTGCGTTTAGGGGAGGAGGTGGAGGCGGAGCAGAGGTGAGCTAGGGCCGGGGGTGGGGTGGGGAGCTGCCAGTAGGTGCTCTGCACCCACCAAATTTTTCCCTTGGGTGCTCCAGGGCTGGAGCACCCATGGAGTCAGCACCTAACGCGTCACTTTTGGCCGGTTAAATTTAGAAGCCCTTTTAGAACCAGTTGTCCCTCACGGAACAACCGGTTCTAAAAGGGCTTCTAAATTTAACAACCAGTTCTAGCGAACCGGTGTGAACTGGCTCCAGCTCACCACTGGTCATGTGTCTCCCCAGATTTGCTGCTTGGCTTGTACTAAGCATGCTCACATGGACTTCACATGCTCAGTAGCATCTGCTGAAGCCTCTGCCCTCACTCTGCCTCCCCCCAACTCCGCCACCCTCTATCGGCGGGAGATCGGGTACGGGTCATCTCTGTGCTAAACTGCTACCCCCAATTCTTACATGAATGTCGCTGCAGGGAAATCGCCACAGGGAAGAACTCCAAGCCACACATGGAGAATAGAATCCCCCTGTACAGTTTTCCAGCTGCATTTAGGGCAGTTTATGCTTTTTCAGAAGGGTGATATTCAACTTTGTGGCAGTGTAGTGATAAAACAAGGATTAACTCTGCATCAGATGCAACAGACTAAAAAGATAACACCTGTCTTCAGTTACCATTTTCTCAAACTTCTGAAACTTCTCTTGAAATACTTGAGAATCCGAAGTGACGCCTTGCAACTGCTTTGCCTCCTCGAAGAGAGTCTTGTTAAGTGTTGTTTCTATCTGGAAATCCAAGTGATATTATATTGTAATAGTTCATATTCTATGTAAAATATTGCAAAGAACTCAGCAAATGTGATTGAACCATACAGTACCTGAGACTTATACACTGCTCCCAAAATACCTGCTACGATCTGAAGGATCAGGATCAAAAGGAGTCCAATAAAAAACTAGCAAGAAAACAAAGAAGGGAAAAGTTAATACTTTTGACCAGCAAAAGATCATTTCTTCCAGCTTGGTGGCAAATTATTATTTACATGAATGGAAACTTTGGCAGAGTAAATTTACATCGTGCTTAGAGCTAATCAGAGTATTCATCCTAACTCAGTTTGAGACAAAATTTGGCCTTTTTCTGTACACAAATGCCCTGGGCCAGCATAAGGGGTGATGTGGTATTTCACTCTTCCAGGAGGAGCATCGGGAGCTATTATGTCTCAGGCAGGCACAGTCTATCTGAAGACTGCTAAGTTCACACAGGGGCTGCATATTGTGCTCTATCCGTTGGCATGGTACAGATTGCTGCCCTCCCCAGTACAAATGTTTTGTGCAGCTCCATGTGTGACATTTTATGCAAATGATGTAATGAACTAATTTGCATATTTGGACAAACCAATCCCATAATCTTCAATTTGTGGGGACTATACTTGCACTCCAAGCAGTGTGGGGTAAAGTGTAGAGCTGCATAGTACTTAGCAGCTGTGGTTAAGGATGCTGGGTAGATGGCTTGGTGCTGGGTAAGGCAAGCTGCAGGTTGGGGGCAGTCAGGTGTGACCTGGGGGCTGTCTGAGGCGACTGGGTGGAAGGTGACAGTGGTGGGAAGCTGGGAGAAGATTGGCAGGGGGAAGCTGAGTGGGAGTTGGTTGGGGAGAAAGCTGGGAGCGGGCTAGGGGCTTTCTGGACCCAGTACTGGGTCCCCCTCACCTTCTGTTCCCACTAACTGCTCCTTCCCCTCTGGGATCCAGAAGAGGGAAAAGGGCGATGGGAGGCAGAGTGCCCACGGTGCCCCTGGCAGGCAGTACCAGCCTCAGGCCCATTCCCACAGCTGTCAGAACCAATAACATCTCAGTAGGGCTGCAAGGATGTGAGTGTCACACCAGATGCATGACACTTGGCAGCTATACCCGTACACCAGCCCTGCTCTGTGTAAACTGTCCTTTGGGATAACTTCTTCCTGGGGTTGAAGAAGTTAGCAGTTCCAAGAGTGAAGGGATTGCTATCATGGAAGGCCACTAAGCAGTCACAATATGGCCTAATGTTTTTTGAAACCCTCCCAACCCTGCTTATGGAAGTTGCCTTTGTCAGACAGTGAGAGGCATCCCACCATGCACTGCGTGGAATGGGTCCAAACAGTTAATACAAGTAATCATTTGATCAAACAGAATTGCGCCAGATTACAATTAGTCTCATTTGCAAGGAACTTTTCCACCAGCCCTAACTTCAGCTTGAAAAGTTTAGACAAAGGTTTTTCTTTTCATGACCCTACCAAGATCAGCATGCATTGACTTTCCTTCATTGCACCACAGCAACCCAGGAAACCAAGGACCATAATGATGGATCCCACTGCTATCATCAGGTCAACAGCTGAAAACAGGCTACTATCTAAATGGATATCCTGTAGAGAGAGAAACAAAAAGTCAGTTGTAAGAAAACCCTTTCTAGAAGAAGGGTAATTTGTTAGATAACCTGATCTACCTCTTCTTACCCACCCCACCCCCCAAAAAAGAGGGTGACTTTGTAGTTGAGGATAGAGAACTGTTATGTATGGATTAATCAATCAGGGTGATGTTCTCTCCTGAGCAGAGGACACACCTAAGGCCTATGCACTCATTTCAGCCCTATTTTGAGAGTTTAAGTAGGAATTGGCAGTCCATTGTCTTTGTGCTGGCTCTCTGCACAGCAGTGAATTTCACCCTTAGTGAATAAACAAAGGTCTTTTGTCTTAAATATGTTTTGTTCTGTTTTCAGCCAATAAATATTTGTTTCTACTTTATGTAGAAAAAAATTATTACCTGGAAAAGTTCTTTGTTATTAATCTAGTGTTGGGGGGAAAAAAGAGTTCTTCATGACAATCCCAGAAATTTACTCACTTACTCCATTGCACTTCCCATGAGAGCACTATTCAGAATAGTACTGGATACACGAGAGGGCAAGGTCAGATACATTTTTCCAAGGCTTCTCTTTGTTTTAAACTGGTTCTGCAGTATTACTCTAAGGGATGGTGTCTGTATTTTGATGTGTGTCATATTTAAGCAAACAATTCCTATAATTCAATATAATTAAATATCAATTTATTCAGTTCCCATTGGGCATGAGCAGGGCCGTAGGCCAACATTGGGAGAAACCTTCAAAGAATATTTTCCTCACTGTTGCCAAGATTAGTAACAATGTCTGGAAGTTGTCACATTTATCTTCTGATGGAAACAGTGAAGGTGCATATAGACTAGTATAATTTTAGGAATGCAGGGTGCTTTACTTTTCCAAGTGAAATAAACCTCCTATTTACTGTCAGAGAGCTGTATTCATCTACAGCCAAATCCTGAAATGGTTACTCAGTAAAATAGACAAAATGCATATTGACTTTGAATGGGAACTTTGCCTGAGTGAAGACTGAAAATAGTGTGTAAGGACTTCAAGATTTGGTCTCTAACTCTTAATTCTGCAGCAACTGAAGGGGTTCAGCTATTTAGAACTAGGGATCCAATTCAGGAAAGCACTTAGGTACACACTTAAATACTGTCCTGAATAGAAATGCTTTCCTGACTCGTGGCCTTGTAGAGCACAGCTGTGATTAAGGTGTTCCAGGTATACAAGGCCATTTGGGGAAATGTACTGTATAAAGTCAATAAGACGTGTGGCAACTTGAACCTCTGTGGAAGACTGGGAGATTCGAAACTAGAACTTGTCTTCTATCCTCTTATGTAATAAAGAAGCTCAAAGCTCTCCACTTCCCCCCCACCCATGACTTTATATAAAATATGGCCATATTTCATTGTACCAGGGGACTCTATAACATGTCCACACTCTGGCAAAGGTGGGAGTTCACTCTGAGATTGACTGGCTGCAACACAGCCAGCCACCAGAGGTAGGACGCCAACATCTGGGATTTGTTTGTTTTTTTGTTTTGTTTTTTTTTAATTGTAAATGTGAAAATGTTGATCAAAGACATATTGTTCTTGATTGATGGGAAAAGTGCCCTGACTCATGGTATGGCAACAGACTGGCAATCAAATATCTTGGCACTTTAATCAGCCCTATAAAATTAACCTGGAAATCGCAAAAATTGTTTCCAAAATGGATAGCCATTTTTTTTCACTTCTGGAATCAGTCAAGAAGCATTTTGAGAACAAAATTACTCACAAAGTCTCAAACCCATTTATCTCCCTCTGGCCCAGATTCATGCACTGAGGAAAAGAGTTATGTTTCTCAACAGTTTGGAGCTGGATGTTTCACCACCACCCCCCAATCAATATAGTAACTCTTAAAAGCTCAGAGCGCCTACTATTCCACTAACCCCCACCGTGCTATCGAACCAGCCTCCCACTAAGGGAGATTCCTGACCAGTGGCAGATGGAAGAGTCGCTGTCAGAGTGTGACTCCAATGGAACTCTGCTGTCAGGGACCATTGACAGTAAGTTGCAGGGGGCCCCAGAACCACTGAAGAAGCAAAGGGCCTCCACACAGAAGGCCTTTGTCTCTGGTAGATTCCTCAGGAACCTTAGACCATGGAGGGTGGACTTCCTGCTTATTTTGTAAGGAGGGAAGGTGGTAGGTGAAAATCCAGTGGACTGATCCAGATAAACTCCATGAAGGGGACCTCGAGCAGTTTTCCTCTCCTCTCATCTCCAGCAGGATTTCTGCAGGAAAGGACAATTTAACCCTTCATAAGGACTTCCTGATTTGGCTACCTTAGGGCCCTTTACTGCAAATCCTTATTCATGCAGTAAAAAGGGTTACAGGGTCAGGGCTCACATTTTTACAGTTCCATTGGAAACATAGGGAAAATATTTGCTTATATGTAAAGGCTAAAATTGCTCAGGTAATAGACATCCCACTTTTGAGGAAGGGTTAGAAAGCAGAAAATTCACTGGAAAATTCAAAAGGGTTCCTGAGTGTACTACTTTTTCTAAAAAAATTTGGACTGACTTTTGAGGAGACTATTTGTTATGTGGGTACTGACCTTTCTCCCACATTGAAATCAATGGCCTAGTTCCCTGTGACTTCAATGCGAGCAAGAACAGGACTATGTCACACAACAGAAATCTAAGCAGCTTTGCCACCAACACTGTAAACATATATAGTAGTAGTACCATAAAGAAAAGCTCACGGCACACATACCTCTGCAATTGTACCATTCATTACATCTGACCACCTGACTGATCCCTCTTATTTAATGTTAGAGATCATAATTTGGTTATTATATACACACAACAGTCACCTCACTGAAAGGCTAGCAGGCTCAGGGAAATTACTGTGGAAAATGACTGTGTTTATTAGCTGACACAGTGCTTTAGCATTTTAGGGTGAAAAAATGTTTTTTGTAGGACAGAATACATTTACCTCTTGAGCAGATTTGCTTACACGCAACCAGATAGAGACCCCCAGAATAATGCAGCCACATATCTGCAGGGAAAAAACATCAGTAATAATAATATCTAGCTCTCATGTATAGCACTTTCCATCACTAGCACTCAAAGTGCTTTACAAAGGAGATCAGTATCATTATCCCCATTTTACAGATGGGGAAACTGAGGCAGACAGAAGGGAAGTGATTTGGCCATGTTTGCCCAGCAGTTCAATAGCAGAGCTGAGTCTCTGCCCATTAGGTTACACTGCCTTCCTGTACACACACTTACCATCCCCAACTGCACCAGATGCCTGCAGAAATACTGAAATTATCTGTACAGCAAAGTGAAAGAAAGATCAACGGCCTACAGCTTCACAGCCAGAAAACTTCATAAATGGCAGCTGAATTTCCCTCACTCAGCCCAGCGGTGCAGTTTGCTGTGCACCAGCTGCCTGATGTTCCAGTCCCTGAAGTGCCTACAGTTCAGTGATGATTTATGTACGTGGTTTGGGAGGCACTTTGTGATCCGGTGGGATGAGGGTGTATATAAATGTACAATGTTATAATAGTTAGAGAACACAGGGTATATCAGAGTTGTAAAAAAAGATCATTTCTCATATCAGGACCATCCACATGGAGGCCCTCTTCCCCCAGCTTCCCTCTTCCCCTTTTGTTCTATGGCACTGTTTCTCTAATGAAACTGCACTACCAAGGACTCCCTCTGCCAACAGCCTTCCCAAGCTGTGTTACCTTTTCCAGGTAAGTACTGCAGGACCAGAGAAGGGATGGTGTGCATTCCCCCACTCTCCTTAGCCCACCCACTCTTTCCACTTAGCTTAGCCAATACTTGACCCAACCAATGGGTTCCAACCCTGCAGGCAGCTCTCCACAGACTGGTAGGAAGTGAGAAATGGTTCTGGGTGCAGGACAGATACATTCCCGTGGGCCCACTGTGGCCTAATATTAATGATCAAGTATCAAATATTGAAGTCCTCCCTCACTTCTTATTCAGGTAAACTTGCACTGATTTCATGGTTTTTCTAATTATGTCCCTGGGAGTCTGATTGGTGACTGAGTAAAATCTGAGAAGGATTTCAGGATTTGGCCCTGAGTGACCCGCCCACCCCAGGTTTTTTATTAGCTGCAATGTTTGACTACAAACAACCATGTGCAGATCCTGGTTTCCAAGAATAATATCAGCATTGCATATCAAGCAGAGGTGTACTGTACCCAACTGGAGACATGCCCAGCTACTTGAAAGCATACATCCTGTGGCCTTTCAGATATCCTCCTCAGACCAGAGAAGACCTTAATGACTGGATGAAGGATAAGTAGGCAGGCAAAGGGCCCGACTCTCCTCTCACTAACTCTGATGAAACTCAGGTTAGAACTACTGAAATAAAGATAGTTATACCAGTGTAAGAGGAGAACCACATCCAAAGAATGTACTGGCTTGGAAGAATGGAGGGGATGTGGGGAGAGGAGACAGAATAATCATTTAAGGATAGACTGCCATGCTTACACAAGTTCAGTACTACCTTGCTGTATCCTGTCAGGGGTCAATTTAAGGGCAGTAGAAGATGACCTTTAAATTTGGAGAGAGATGATGATATTGGCGTCTCAGTAAGATTGTGACCATTCCTGGACATTCTAAAGTAACATTGTTATTTTTATAATTTTTAGACAATTTTCCTTAAAAAAAATCCTCACCCACTCAAAGGGCCGGTATAATACTCAATCTCAAATCCCATAATGACTTTAGCAGATTATTTAACGTGGAACATGGCCAATACTCAAACCTGAACACTACATTTTTTTCTGCTTCCAAGTAAAAGTCCTGTAAGTACATTAGTATTTAGTCTGTTTATAGGCTTTTATATCTGAACAAGAGGAAACAATAAAAAGAGAGGATATTATTTGCTACAGCTATCTCACCTTATCAAATTTTAACTAGAACTTCCATTGAAAGGAATGGGGACTTTGGCGTAAAAACTGATGGTATCATATGACCCCATGTTCAGGCCTTGGTCTATGTCACTGTGTAAAATATTTGGTTATGAACCAGACATTATGGGCTTTAGTCACGTTCACTTCAGTGGCACTTCTCCTGTGAGAAAGTACATTTGGCCTAAACTCATGAACAAAATTTGAGCCTCAATATTAATGACTTAATTACTGCCACAGAAATATATCAGTAATAATAAAATGAATAATGGGCCCAAACTAGATTTTCCATTTAGTGGGAAACTCCAATTTCAAAATGTTTCCTTTCCAAAATAAAAGAGAACCAAATATTGTTGCAGTTTCCGGCAAAATTATGAAATTTAGCCCCACCACCCACAGAAATAGTTTCAGGTCAATCAAAATGTTTTGCTTTGATAAAGTCAATGCATTTTTTTTCCAATTTAGATTTTCTTCTATAAAACCCAATTTTTTAAAAAGTCTGAAGCAAAAAGTAGTTTCAAAATGAAAAAATTGAAGCATTACATTCTGAGAGGGCCAAAACACAATGCCTCAAGCTTACCAGAATGCTCCATTCTGGATTTTTTTTTTCCAAATGAAATTTTGTCAAAATCAATACATGTTGACAAAATGTTTCATTTTTGACAAATCAGCATTTTTGGATGGAAAAATGTGCCATCAGAAAATTTCCAACCAGTGCTATGGGTAATAGCAAATAACTGAGGGCTATATTGTGGCTTTGCCACAAGCCCTGACCAAGGGCCACCCGTGTAGTTGAACTGCCTCAGGAGCAGACCAGGGCCCAGACTGTGTCTCACAGAGTCACAGTCTGGTGCCTGGTTCCCCACCCCCTTCCTTCAAAGTCAAGTGCAGTAATCTGTGCCAGCCCTACACTTGATGGAGATTACTGCAGATGTACTGACTGTGATGTCTAACTAGAATACTAGGGCTCCACCCACTCCCTACCCACATGGGTAGGTGGGGGAGTAGCAATCACATGGAGATTGCACTCCTCCCTGCACTACTACTCGCATTGTATGCAGCCTGGGTAAAGAAGCAAAGAGGAGACTTACACACCCTTATACCCTTGCACGGATGCATACGTTGGAAATCAGAAAGTTTCTAACCCTCAGAGGAGTGAGGTTCTGGAACAGCCAATAGGAGTTGTGGGGGCAAACAACCTAACTAGTTTTAAGATGAAGCTTGATAAGTTTTTGAATGGGATTGCCTGTGATAGCAGGGGATTGGACTTGATGACCAAGGAGATCCCTTCCAGTCCTATGTCCTTACAAGAGCCCTGAATAAAGCACTGCCTTGATTTTGTTGAAATTCAATATACTAAAAAGTACTCAAGTGGCAGAAGCTGTTCTGAGGTTGATGTTACCTTAGCTTCCTATTATAAGCTCGATTTTTCTACCCCACACTGGGGAGCAGTGCTCTGCACACTTCTGGAGAGTGCCAGGATGAGTGTGCCTGGGGAACACTGGCTAAAAGCTGTAGTAATACCCACTGTTCTCTCTCTGTTTCTGTTTTCACCAAAAGGGTTAGTAGCAATTGGACATCTAACATAGTAATCACCAGTGAAAATGAGGCTGAAATAGGGAAAGCAGAAATTAAAAATTACTTGGACATGTTAGATGTCTTCAAGTTGGCAGGGCCTGATGAAATACATTCTAGAATACTCAAGGAGCTAACTGAGGAGAAATCTGAGACATTAGCAATTATCTTGGAAAACTCATGGAAGACGGGAGAGATTCCAGAGGACTGGAAAAGGGCAAATATAGTGCCAATCTATAAAAAAGGGGAATAAGGACAACCCGGGGAATTACAGACCAGTCATCTTAACTTCAGTACCCAGAAAGATAATGGAGCAAATAATCAAGCAATCAATTTGCAAATGCCTAAAAGAAAATAAGGTGATAAATAACAGTCAATATGGATTTGTCAAGAACAAATCAGGTCAAACCAACCTAATAGCTCTCTTTGACAGGGTAACAAACCTTGCATATGGAGGGAAGCAGTAGATGTGGTATATCTTGACTTTAGTAAGGCTTTTGATACTGTCTAGCCTGACCTTCTCATAAACAAACTAGGAAATATAGCCTAGATGGAGCTACTATAAGGTGCGTGTATAACTGGCTGGAAAACCATTCCCAGAGTAATCAGGGGTTCAAAGTAAAGCTGGAAGGGCATATTGAATGGGGTTCCGCAGGGACGGGTCTTGGGTCCGGTTCTGTTCAATAGCTTCATGAATAATTTAGATAATGGCATGGAGAGTATACTTATAAAGTTTGCAGACAATACTAAGCTGGGAGAGGTTGCAAGTGCTCTGGAGGATAGGATTAAAATTCAAAATGATTGGGACAAACTGCAGAAATGGTCTGAAGTAAATAGGATGAAATTCAACGAGGACAAATGCAAAGTACTCCACTTAGGAAAGAACAACCAACTGCATGTAGTAACTCCTTGCTTAACTTTGCAGTTATGTTCCTGAAAAATGCTACTTTAAGCAAAACAATGTTACATGAATCCAAGTTCCCCATAAGAATTAATGTAAATAGGTAAACAGATTAATGTAAACAGATTAGACAAACACCTGTCAGGGTTGGTCTAGTTATTACATAGTCCTGCCTTGAGTGCAGTGGACCGGACTACATGACTGTTGAGGTCACATCTATGATTAATGTCCCTTTAAGTACTGTTATGTAAAAAGTTCACCTTAAAATTTAAACACACTCAAAATCAGCCTGGGCTAGGTCTAAGTTCACAAACCAGCACTGGCTCATTAGAAGTTTATTTATTGTGTCCTCAAGGCATGAAAGGTTTTTGCAAATTCTATTTGTCTAGCCACAAACTTTCAGAAGCTACTGTTTGTGGTTCCTTTTGAGTTTTGTCTTCTGTTCACTGGGAAAGATTCCCTGAGGCAAGTCCCATGGTGTAGCTACTAATTCCACTTCTGGTTTCAGTGTCCCCATTGTCAACCTGTTACATCTCTTGCCTAAGGGTTGACAAGATTCAGCCATGAAAAGGCTGATTTTATTTGGACTCAAACCTTTCAAAAACTTCTAGGTCTGCAAACAAGTAGACACAACAAGTATGGAGATCTGTTTCAAACCAAACTCAGAAGGCTTCACGCTGCTCTTCTTTTACATCAGGCCTGGATTCTACTCTCTCACATACTCCATCCACTTCCATATAATTATCCCTAATACACACCATTGCAACCTGTCAGCTTGCCAAAGCAAGAGACTCAGTGCAAGACAGCGCCAAAATACGACACACACAAATTATTCCTGCAAAAGATTTGAAAATGCTTCTATAAAATTATTCTAAACCCCGATGTAAATAATTTACAAAGTAAAAGCAAGATAGTTCATGTGTAACATAGGCAACTTTTGGACTATAATGAGTGATGTCCCTCAAAATGAAGGCACTTGTGATATGTCGTCACAAGAACTAGATCTCTAATTTCGAATTTACAAAAAATGCAGGCATTTACTAAGCATTGAAAATGAAAGAAAAACAGAGACTAAGCTAATGTTGCTGATAAAGTGAAATTGAATGGATTCTCTCTCCCCACTGCTCTACCTATTTCCAATCATACTCTAGTTTTTTATTTATATCTAATTTTCTTTATAACTGCTGCTGCTATATTCCCTGAATACGGTGTGCTCTGGTTCCCATGCCACTATTAGTAACTTAAAAATCAACTTACCCAGAACAAAAAGTTGAAGATGAACATGGAATATTTCATGCAGCTGCTCACCCCTGCCATTTTCAAAAGCTAGTGGAACCAAAGTTTAAGAAAGAGTTTTTACAGGAGCTCTTCCTCTCTCTCTCTCTCTCTCTCTCTTTTTTAACTCTTCGAAAAGCTCTGAGGCTGTGTTCTGTGCTTTGATACCAAAAGTCTTGGAGGAAAGCAATTACAATTATTTACTTAATACATATGCCCTGGGTAAATATTAACCAAGCACCCAAAAGCACCATCAAGTGTTATCTCTGAATATGTGCATAGGCATGTTCTCTTGTTCTGGCTACAGGATTGGACGTTTTTATGTTTGCATTCTTATTTTCCATACCCCAAAAGTAAACAGATACTATAGGATAAGGCATAATATCAAAAGTAGAGGAGAGGAAATGAAAATGTAAAATGTTTATGGGGTCAGTCTCAAGAGAATCCAACATTAAATGCTAAACGCTTGCACTTCTAATGCTTCTAACAATTACTAGATTTGCTCTGTTTCATCACTTTATTTACACACTGCCAGAATTCATAGACCTCCCCTCAGCCCTGTTCCAAACATCCAGCCTAAGTAATGGGATGGATGCTGGCTTTCTCTGCACAGGAATGGGAGAGAGGAATCTGCCACCATTACTTCAATCTCAATGCCCTCTCCAGACTGCTCTTGGCTCTCCCTCCATGACAGCATCCCATAGAGCTTGGATCTGTAGTGCAGAGCATACAGGCCCTGTGCAGATTGCCAGATTTTTTTTCTGCCCCAGCACAGCGGTCACATGGTTCCACTCTGAGACTCCCTACACCCGGAGAGCAGGGGCCAGGATTTTGTCCCAGAGTAAATGACAATGACAACTGTAATGACTTTACTTTGGTTTCGTTGTTTGCCCTCAAAAAGATATTATTAAACAACTATAGATATCAGATTGTTCGGCCTCCTCTATCGCTATGTTTTCTAGAGGAAACCCAACAAAACAATCCCAGGGGGATGAAAGTCAGGCAGGGGTTATGCTGGGTTCTCCATGGAAAGAAAGATTTAATTTGCAGATGGTCCCACAGAACTTTTGCCTGTAGAGGCTGGGGATGGGCTACATTGAACCAGTTTGAGTCCCATTCACCTTGACCAACCTCCCTCTTTAGTCAGCTGTGTTTACTGTTATCCTCCAGATCTCCATTCTGAGTGCATAGTAAGGTGGTTTGGGGAATGTTCTATATTTGCATATGTAACCCTTGCTCCCTCGGAGTGGCACTCTGTCCCCCTCTAGTGGTGGCTAACCCAGCTAGAGATTGCTACAGTCTTGGCTAAGAGATATGCGTCTTTTGGCTCATGCATTTAGCTCAAGAGGTCCAAGATTTGATGCCCACTGCCAACACCACACCCTTGTGTGAGGCAGCGTTACATGTATATGTAAATGGTTAATAGGCAAGGTGTCTGAAGATGGCACACATGGATACATAACCTTGTCCTGGGTTTTGTTGGACCAATACATTTTGTTGGGCATGGGTTCTTCTTGTTGCTCTTTACAAAGGGGACATGATCTAGGTTACACTGGCTAAATATAGCCCATAATTTTTATTTAACTAAATTTAAGAAGACCCACCTGCTCTGAATTCTGATGACTGGTGATTAACCTGACTCACAGATATTCAAATTTCAGAGGTATGGCATATTTTTTGGAGGTAACAATTTTTCTGATTCTAAGGGCTTGGCTTTCTGACTAATTTATTTCACAATGTCCAAACTAAATCGGAGAATGTTCCTATGAATAATTGTGCTTATGAAATGCATATTTCTCAGAAACTTGGAGAAACAACAGAGTAGTATGTTTTAGATCTAAAGACCCAGATAAATAAACAAGTAAATAAATTTATATATCTTCATGGAAAAATTACATAGCCACAAATGAATCATGAGAATAGTTCAAGTACCATATAAAATTATATGACAGATTTTCTATAAAGGGCAATGAAAGAATTACAGCTGACATCTGCTTTGAAGAGATAAAGTCTAAAGTTAAAGCATGGAATTGCATTTAGAGCAGGTTTATTATCAGACTAGCTCTGAAGAAAAGTGTCATATTGTACCAGAGATTACACAGTCATGAACTGTCTTGTATAGTAGATATCCATTAACGATTGATAAGTTTTAAAATAGTTTTATCTGAAATGTTTGGACCAGACATTCAAAAAGAAAGGAAATCACTGGGGGGAAATGTGATAAACTGCAAGGCATTTTGATATAGAAACCAAGGATAAACACGTACAGAATGGCCCCTCTCTAGGAAGTTAGTATGCAAACATTTCGCAAGTTATAAAGGGAGTCTATAGGACCAAATCCTAGCTCCCACCCCACCTTCCCATCTTCTTTCCACCACTCTGGAGCACAAAGCAGATACAAAACTGGTGTACTGGCTACCTAACTCCAGAGATCCCCAGCTACTGGAATGGCCCCTTTAGGAGCTGTTGAAGTTGGGAAGAACTTAGAGCTAAAGCTGGGCAAATTTTTTTTGACAAATAGTTTATTCATTGGCATAAGGACTTGAATCCAGATCTTGCATTCCCAAAAGAGCGCTCTAACCACCAGACTATGGAGTCTTTCTTTCTGTTTTTTTTTACAAAGTGGAACAGCATTAACAGGAGAACTTGAGAAAGACCTAGCCTAGAATAGCCAATATCACAGTGGTTAGAACGTGCTTCTGAGAAGGAAGAGACCCAGGTTCATAATCCCTGCCCTGGAGCAGGGACTTAAGTCTGAATCTCTCATATCCCATGTGAGTTTCTCAAACACTGGGCTATTAGGTTAAGAGGAATGGTGGCATCATTTCCTTCTCCAGCGATTCTGTGACTCTAGCCCTTTGCTTTTACTTAAAGGTTAAAGTTGCCAGAAGTGAAATGAAATCTATATGTTTCAGGTTGAACACAATGTTTTGTTTGATCCCAAACAATATTTTTGAACTGCCAGCAAACCAATAAAAATATAATCAGTTATTCACCCCACTCTATGAAGTTCAAGCCGGAGGCTGCTCCAAAGTGTGTCAGAAATAGAGCCAGTTTCCCGCTCTGTTATGTTTTCAGTTGTGCAGGGCACAAGACCAGTATAATTGCAGATCTGGCGCTATTGTGTATACAGTTGCAGTGAGGTTAGAAGACTTAAAAAGTTTAAGATCTAGATTTTAGTCAGCCTATTTTTTCAGCATTGCAGGTACAATTGGAGGTTGCAGTTGCTGAAGTAATTTATCAGAACCTCTGGGATTTTATTTCTCTTGTCAGAAAAGAACCACTTACCAGTTATTTGACAAGCAAGTCCCAGGAGGATTCCAGTTCTCCCTAGAACTGGGGGCATCTCTTTTGTTGACCATTTACCCAGGAGTAAAAACCATCAGGACTTTTTTTTTCCCTGGTCTCTCTGAAAAAACAAAAGTGAACTTTAATATGACTTGATTGCTATTCCTCATTTGAGACTTGATAAAAGGGGAATTGGGCAAAGTTAAACACATTCCCAGTGTGAATTATATTCTAATTATAACGTAATCTTCATGTATTACATGAACTTGTCATAACAGTGATGTTTCATATCTATGTACCAAGGTACTTAAAGTAAAAATGTGAAGTATATGATTAAAAGTATGTGAGTGCCTTCCATTATTGAGAAGTTTTTAGTGACAGTTGTCTGCAGAAGACGGTAGCTCTATTGTATATTAACCTTTCTTCTTTGCAGTTGCAGATTTGGAGTATCCTTGATCACTGTACATCTATCTGCAGTTGCAGTTAGAGCTGAAATGACCTGATTTGTAGGTGCAACCAGAATTGCCCGTAGCAGTTCTAAATGGGTACAACTCTCAGCACAAGTAATTCTGCCTTCAGTTTTGTGCCCATATTTAATTGTGCATGCCAAATTGCTCCCACAATCCCAGAGACTCTTATTCAACATTTAGGCCCTTATATATGTGTACAAAAATAAATGCTCTGCCACAAATCACCTGCAATCCTTTTCCAGTTAAAAGACTTGAAAATACAAATTGCAAATAAGGAAAAACCTAACAGGTTAGCATATGAAGTTACCAGTTACTCATTTGGGTGCAGGGAATGGGTGAGGCTAGCATGCTAATGTAGGGCAAAAGCTAAATACAAGTAAAGGTGAAATTCTGGTATTCTGCAGCTGAGTCTCTCGACTGAATGATTAACCTGAGATTGTGATGACCAGGCCTGATTAAAGATCCCAGGGCACTGTTTTGCAACAGAAGGTGTGAGTCACCCCCTCTCATCTATTTCTGCTTTCGTTAATTACATTGCATTTACCCTGTTCTGGGGTTTCAGTTGGATACAATCTTCTTCATTTCCTGTCCCTAATATTGTGTACACAACTAAAGAGCTGCCATATACTTTCCAAGGGTGTGCTGCACATCAGTATGGGTGAAGTGATTTCTACATATAGTCAGTATTGAATGCACTTTGAGGTCCATCAAGAAAGATAAAAGATAGATTAAAAATGGGTTTCAAATCAGATCTGAATTGCAAACTCCCCAAAGTGTGTGGGATTTGGATCCACAATTTTGATTATAAAGATGGAGTAATTTGCAACATTTAGATCTGTGTTCAGATTTCAACAACCTACAATATTTTATGGATTTTGGCTCTGGGATTTTGGATTGGGTACATCTATAACAAATATAAGATATTATTAGGTTATTAGTAGTAGTAATAATAATACTTAAACTGGAAATCAGTCACTGCCATTTTAGCCAAGAAGCAGTTAAGATGCTATTTCAAATGCAGGCTCACTGGACTACAGTTTTAAGTCAATGGCAAGGTGAAAAGGATGAAATACCGTATGAACTTTTTGCCCAATATGGTTAAAACTGCATAATATAGGCTGGATATTACAGAGATATTCCTGTCTATTTGATTACTGATTATGTTCAAAATCTGAGAACTGTACTGGGATTTCCTGTCTGCTGTGACTCACTCATTCCTTTGAAAGCACAGCTATGCAAAAGATGCATGCAAGACAATGTGCGTCACTAGACTATGTGGCTGCAGATATGTGGTGAGGAGGAACAAGCTGGTTGTTTCTGCTCACCACGATGTATCACGGTTGGGAAGGGGAGAAGCC